CGTCAGTCATTCTTTTAGGTAAATACAGTACTGTATAGTATTGTATAAAAAAAGGACCTAGGGACTTGGTTCAGCACACAGCTGTCACCCAGGTGCATCTCCTTGCACTCTTACGTTAGAGGTAGACATGTATTTTGAGGCAGAGTTTTTCTATATGGTTCAGGCAGGTTTTGAAATCACTGTGTAACCCAGATTATCTTCAAACTCATGGTGATCTTTCTGCCTCAGCCTCCTCACTACTGGAATTACAAGCATGCATCAACACGCTTGGCTTAGAGACAGCCATATACTTTGATATGCAGCAGACATGCTTTATAGGTGCTTCTATTTATCACTGAATATTTTTTTAAAATATACTCAAGGGTCAAGATTTAACAAAAGTACTTTTATTGATTCTTCAAGGACATTCTTAAATAAAATGTACATGTGTGTGTTCACACATGTGCTGGAAATGGAACCCAGAGCCTTGTGCATACTAAGCATGTTCTATACCCTTGCATTTTCTAATTGCAAGGACATAACAATACAAAGAATACTAGCATAAATTGGTGCCACTACCTTGATTTGAGGTAAGGTGCTATATAGTTTTATCTACTATTGCATTGCACCCTCACTGGAAACATTAACCCAATGGAAAAGACATAATATCATAATATTGTTGTGAAAATAGTTTTACATATTCAGGGAACCTCAGGGGTCGACAGACAATATATACTTGGAGGCCCTTTCTTTAATTGAATGACAGCACTTAGGATGAATATGTTAAGAAAAGAACCTGTTCAGAACTGTGGGGAAACACTGTTTTAGGAAGAGCCAAAGGAAAAATAAACCTAAAAGGAGATAGCAGTAAGACAGCCATGTGGTATTTGATAATTTTAGTAATTTAGCTTTTAATGAGTGTTTACTTTGTACTAGGCTCTGTTCTAAGTGTTAAACATTGAATCCTCATAGTAACTCTATGAGGTAGTTTGGTACTAGTGTTAGACTCATTTTACAGATGAGAAAAGAGAAACACAGAGAAAGTAACTTGTTTAAGATGATTCACCTAGTGATGCATACCAGCCAGTCTACATCTGCCAGAGAGATAAAGGGAGATAACTAGAAGAGTAACATTAGGGCTGGGGATTTAGCTCAGTGGCAAAGCACCTGCCTGCCAAGCGCAAGGTCGTGAGTTCGGTTCCCAGTACCGGAGAAAAACCAAAAAAAGACAAAAAAAAAAAAAAGAAGAGTAACATTGAGGAAGCCAAGAGAAAAAGAACGCATTTCAAGAGGGGAACATGATCAGTAATGTAAAGTGCTGATGAGAAGTCAAGTGAGATAAAGCACTGCAAAGCTCCATTTGATTTCCTTCTAAAGGGATCATTGACGACTTTGGCAAGTGAAGTACGGGACAGAATCCAAATGAGAATGGGAGGAGAGTTGAGGAATGAGTGGGAGCTGGAAGAGAAGTCATGAAGAGAGAACTTTTTTAAGAACTATAGTTATGGAGCAGAGAGAGAGGGAAAAAATGAATGTGTTTAAAGTCTGATGAGAAGAAACAAGTTGAAAGTGAGGCTGAAGGTAATAGAAAAAATGAGTAATAAATAGACAAAATCTCTGATAGAGAAGAGATGGGTTAGCTACACATGGCACACACTTGTAATCCTGCGCTCTGAGACTCTGGCAAGAGAGTCACAAGTTCAAGCCCAGCCTGGGCAATTTAGGGAGATCCTGTTCTCAATAGAAAGGGCTGGGCCCGTATCTCAGTGCAGAGACCCTGATTGCAATTCCTAGTGCCGGGGGAGGGGGGGGGGACGGGAGCGGGGCTCTACAGCGTGAGGGGAGGGATTCGTTTGGGATCAAGTTCTGATGCAAGAAGTTGAGGGCACTTTCTTGTTACTCAGATTCTTAAAATCTTGACTATTTCTGCTTCTTTCCTCCTCTTCCTCCTCCTGCATCTGTCACTGCTTTATCTCACTACTTTAGGAGTCTCCGTTTACTACCTATTGCGGAGTTACCAAATCTAGTGGGTGCTGAAGTCTTTGTCTTCCATGATCTCTGCTGTACTTGTTAATACTCCTCCTCTAGCCTTCCTATACCCTAAATTTACCTTTTATATTGGAGTTTCCCAGGGTCCTCACCTTAGTTCTCTTTTCAGTTTATATTCTTTTTTTATGCAATCATATCCCTCCCCACAATTTAGCTGCCGCTCACTATCCTCATTCATTCACATTCATACTGTTCTCCCTCTTCTTGCACCTCATTTACCTTCATTTTATTAAGGTAATTCATTAAGTGTATAACTAAGTCTATATACAGTAATTTTTTATCAGAAATAAAAGTTCCAGGGGGCTGGGGATTTAGCTCAGTGGCACAGTGCCTGCCTGGCAAGCGCAAGTTGTGAGTTTGATTCCTGGTACCAGCAGAAAAACAAAAAAAAAAAGAAACAAACAAAAGTTCCAGTCACATGTCCTTGTAAAATATCTTAGTTTCATGTTATTGGACAAAATAGATTCTCAGTAAGTGTTTGTCAAATAAATAAATGTTTTTTAAGAATCTTAAAGAGCCAGGGAATATAGTTCAGTGGCACAACACCTGCCTGGCAAGCACGAGGTCCTGAGTTCAATTCCTGGTACTGCACACAGACACCCCCCCAAAAAAAGACTTAAAACTAGAAATTACAGGTAATTACTGTAAAATCACTGTAATCCCAGCAGTCAGGAGGCTGAGCAGGAAAATCGCCTTGAGTTTGAGTCCAGCGTGGAGTACACAGTGAGTTTAAAGCCAGCCTGAACTGTGTAGTGAGACCCTGTCTCAAAAAAAAAAAACAAAAACAAAAAACAGTAGCACCCATAATTATTCATTTATTCAATTACTGGGACTATCAGCATCTTTACTTTTATAAAGTCTCTACATAAAACTGGGTTTGATGTATACTGAAAGTAACTATGTAGAAATTTTCCTAGAGCTGATGCACAAAAATTCCTGCTTATGGAAACTAAGATCTTTCTTGAGGAACCAAGGAATAATTACTCAATTTTCAAAGACTTCAGAGTTAAAAATTAATTACACCCAATGATAGCATCATAGAATCTTAGATGTAGAGGGAAAAAATCTTAGAAATCTCATAAGCCCATCATGTATATGTCAAAATGGAGGGCTGGGAATTTAGCTCAGCGGCACAGCACCTGCCCAGCAAGCACAGGATCGTGAGTTCAATTCCTGGTACTGGGGAAAAAAAAAAAACAGAATAGATGGTAAAATGGAAACCCAAGAGAGTAAATGACTTAGCCAAATTTATCTGACTAGAGTTGAGGTCAGCCCTTCTAACTTCCTGCTGTCTTTATTTAGGACTTCCGAAAGTATAACTGTTTCCGTAATCTTTAGGTTAACCAGGAAGATAGCTGTGACCCAGGATATCTGTATTTGAGAAGAGTTCTGTCCAAGTTCTTTATTTTATTGGTACATTTTAGATATATGTAATGATAACATTTGTCATAGGGAATTTGTACCTGTACATGATATATCTTGCTTTTTTTTTTCCACTCCCCCCCCACTTCAACCTCAGCCTAAGTTCTGATGGACCACATATTTAGTAGCAAGCATGTTGATATTATTTTTACCCTGTAGGTTAAAAAAAAACTGAGATTTGTATAAATAACTTCCCCAAATTCATACATATGTGCAGGAAATGATAGAATAGAGCCAGGTGTGGTGGCACACACTTGTAATCCCAGCACTTGGGAGGCTGAAGCAGGAGGATCGTTGCAAGTTGGAGACCAGCCTGGGGTACAAAGTGAACTCAAGACCAGCCTGAACTGCATAGTGAGACCCTGTCTCAAAAGAAAAAAATAAAAGATAGAATAGTGATTTAATCTAAGTATCTCTGACTATAAAGCTCCAGATATAATGAGAGAAGCCAGGGAAAAAATGGAAAGAGGCTTATGTTCCAGCATTTCTTCTTTTTTTTTTTTTTTTAATTTTAAAGAGTAAAAGAAGGATAACATAATAATAGGGGGGACTTAGCAAATTACAGACAAAATGGTAGGAAATTATCAATGGTTATCATTTTACATATTGTTATCTACAAAATAGTTACTCAGGAAAACAAATAGACAAATAATAGTGAGTTAGAGACAAAAGAGGTAGGAGATTATCAATAGTTGTTGTACTATACTTTGGTATCTTCAAAGTAGCTTCTAAAGAAAATAAATACAGCTATACATGAGTGACCTATTGAAAAATCATTAACTATTCTCAATGGTTGTTGTAGGAAACACATAATAATAAACATACATCCATTTATGAAATAGGACAGGAACATTACAAACTTTACACAGTTATGGATAGATTAGTAGGAAAATACCAGTGGCTGCTGTAATACAAAGTGGTATCTTCAAAGTGGTTTCTCAGGAAGACAGAGATATGCAAGAAGGACCTAATAAGTAGTTACAGCCTAAGGGTTGTCAAAAATAGCATATTACCTCCTCACCAGTGACTCCTTTCACTGAGGTATGACGGCTGGAAGGCCAGGATTGAAAAGAAGGACTGAGAGACTTGCACCTGTGTCTAGCAACAGGCTGTTTTCTTGTTCCTCCATAGTCATGATTATCCAGGACTCCTCGATGGAGATGATGGTCTGGCCAGAGGGAGAAGGCAGAGCATTCCCCAAGCCCTCTCATTCCTGTTGGACTAACTGGTAGCATGGGTCTGAGCTCTGGGGCCTCCACCTCAGAGGGCAGACCGATCTCCAGTGGTCTCCTTTGCATCCAGGGCATGGCCCATGGGGCCTCTTAAGGCAGTTCCTCTTGAGGTGGCCTGGCTTTTAACAGTTGTTCCAGCATTTCTTAAACCAGTTGCTTTTCAAGTGAATCATTGTCAAAATTCAGGACCAGGTAAAGTGTTGGGGCTCCCAGTCTAATATTTCCTCTTTTTACTCTGATTTGTCTACTGATCAAGGTCTTTTCTTCATGTTTAGCAAATCATATTTAGAATTGATCTTTAGGTTTTCTGTCTTACAGATTTATTGCCAAACCATGTGCACTCCATGTTGGCATCAAGGACAGTGATCCTTATGAGGCCCCACCCAATGACATTCTTGAAAAGGTGTTTGTGTCTATCACCAAGGTAAGTGAACAGAAAAACAAGAAAATTCACATGAAGAGTTGCTCTGTAGAGTGGGGAAGAAGAGAGCATAAGAGAGGGTAAGGATAGAATGGATGGTCTTCCACATTTGGGTTGTCTATCTAACTGTAAGGAAAATTTTAGCCCCATGGGGAAATACCTTTGGGCCATGGTCGCTAAAAACTCAAGTTTATATACCTTTGACTTTTAGGCTTAGCAACCACCTCTACTCCATGTCTTTTTTTTTTTTTTTTTTTTTTTTTTTTTTGTCTTTTTTGTTTTTGAGGCAGGATCTCACTGTGTAGTGCAGACTGGATTTTAACTCGCTTATGTAGGCCAGGCTGGCAACAATCCTCCTGCCTCAGCCTCCCAAGTGCTGAGATTACAGGCATGCACTACCACACCGGGCAAGTTTTGGTTTTTGTTGTCCTTTTTCACTCAGTTTGAGCTGGAGGGAGAAAACAAAATGAGAATGTGTATGTATGGGTGAACAATAAATGTTCTTGACATGTGAGACAGAACATTTTCCTTAAAGTGATTTGAAGATGAAACCTGGAAAGATAAATATCACTTGATCTGTTGTGGTTATAATCCTTGGCCACTTAGCTAGTCAAGAAGATTTAATGAGGGGTTTGAAGAGAAAGCGGTGTTCTGACTCTGGTTGTACATCTACAGTATCCTGATCAGAAAAGACTGGAGGGCCTGTCAAAGCAGCTGGACTGCGATGTCCGAAAAATCCAATGCTGGTTTCGCCATCGGAGGAATCAGGACAAGCCTCCAACGCTCACTAAATTCTGTGAAAGCATGTAGGTGTGCAGAGGGAGGTAGGGAATGAGGAAGAGGGTGGGGATACAACTGGACTGAGGTTTTCTTTCTGGAAATTACTTATGTTATTATGTAACAATCAGTGGAAATAGAAGGCTAACTCAGTCTGTTGTAAGTAGGAAAGGAGAGAACTGGAAAACTAGTTCCTCTTAGTTCCTTGGACATGCTTAGCACTAAGCTAGCTGCGGCTCCACCTTGTTCCCCTTTTCCAAATAGATTGGGAGTGAATTCTTGTAAATCTGCTTACATAGGTAGGAATGCACGTCCCTGCGCACTGATAGAGGTGGTGCCGCTTGCTCTCAATTGATGTTTTTGTGGGAGCTCTTCCTGTTTGAGAAGTACTGTACTTCAGTCCACTGGGTTTTGCTTTTAACTAATTGGTTTTGGTTTTAACTAATTATCCCCTAGAAACTGAGCACTTTATTAGTTACAGCTGTGCAATAAAAAATACTAGGAACTCTGATGAGTCTGGTATGGAAGAAAAATTTTTATTTTTATTTTTTATTTATTTAACTTTTTTTGTACCAGGAATCAAACTCTGGACCTTGCACTTGCCAGGCAGGTGCTTGTGCCACTGAACTATATCCCCAGCTTAAAAAAAGTTAATTAAAGTCAGTGTATACTTACGGAAGTCTGTTTTAAACAAAGACTAGCTTTGTAGATAACGGTGTTTGTCCCTATGGAATGTGGTAGCTCTCTTCCCCCAAAATTGGCTATCTCAATTTCCCCAGCCTCGAAGACCGAGTGAACATCTGTCTAACCTCTACACTTTGCCTACCCAGGTGGAGATTCACGTTTTATTTATGTATATTCTGCTACGGAATTAGATTTCTCTGGTTGGTAAGTTTGAACTTTCCCTGGTCTTTTGATTGGGTTTTAATAATTCTTAGACTTCCAGAGATTAATCTTTACTTTTCACAGATTTTTCTCTTAATAATCCCCATAGCCCCAGTTTATATACTAATAGATTGTCTTCTGAGTCCTGATTTCACTAATGTTATGAGCCTGCTGTTTTTCTCCTAAATAGTATTAATAATAATAATAACAATAATTAAATCAGAATAATACTTAGTGACTTACAAAGCACTTGACAAACGTTATGTGTTTTCAAGAAGAAATAGAATCAGTAACCCTTTAATGTGTGTGGAAATGATATTATTTCTGCTTTTAGCTAATTGTAAAAAAAGTTTGAATCTTTTTGATTTCGGGGTTTTTATGTGTGTGTGTGTGTTTCGGGTTTTTTTGTTTTTGTTCTATGGGGCAGGGTCTTGCTGTGTAGCCCAGGCTGGCCTCAAACTCATGGCAGTCCTCCTGCCTGAGCCTCCCAAATGCTAGAGATGCAGGCATGTGCTGCCATGCCCGGCATTAATTCCTCGTTACATTTTTTTCTCTGTACCACACTATTTTTCTCTAAATGATATCACTGAGTCTTCAAAATAGACAAAGTGCTGGGTGTGGTGCTTTTACTACAGAAGCTATAGACATTATTGAAAAGATAGACGATATTTGTGAACAGTTTGATGATAAATTTAACAGCATAGATGAAATGAACAAACTTCTTAAAAAGATGTAATTGTAGAGATAATTATTTTTGAGCCTAACACCTCTTCGTGGTTATTAGATGGAGTCATTCTCTTCTCTTCCCATACTTGCATCCCAGAGGTGATGTTTCTAAAACTATCTCAGAGCTCTTCCTGCCCTTTTTTACTGCAAAGCATGGTTTTCTTATCTCTAATAATGCTTTCTTGTAAAAGGAAACTAGCTATTTATTGATCCTTTAGGAATCCCTAAAATCTATCAAAGAGGATTCTTTATTCTTTCCTATCTTTCTTTTGCCCCATCCTAGAGAGAAGAGGATTGGTTATACAAGGTAGATCTTGAAGCAAGCTGAGGGCTAACCTGAATTATCTGTTTTTTCCTTAGTCTCCTTGGTTCTGGGACACCCGACAGTGCTGGTATAATTATCCATTTCAGGTAGGATCGGAGGCTTTTCAAGCTGCCCCGTGGGGGGGGGGGGAGTGGGGGACAGGGTGGTCAGAGTGCGTTGTCAGTCCAAGACAGGTGGCACATCTTCTTGGTGTTCCTGAGGGACCAGGGGCTGAGTCTCTTTGAATCATATATTCAGGGTGTCTGTTTCTGGGGCTTCCATAACAGTCATATATTCACTTTACAGCACTGAGCTTTTTGTTCCAGCCTCTCCCATCATATTTATCCTAACTGGGCCGGAAAGAAAATCCATTTGCTATTACATAAGGGGGTGCTTTCTGGTGCAGTTGTCCTCTTTGTATGAAGGGCTACTTGCAGTCTCCTTGAGAGCATCTTGGTTCTCTGTTCATTCTCCAGCACTGAATGAAGGAAAGGGGGCACCATAGTCCTGACCTGTACTAGAAAATGTCAACGTTAGGGAAATGCTAAAGAAAAGGCAAAGCCTGCTCATTTAATCCCCCTGAAAAACACTAATTGCTCAGAATTCTAGGCACGCTGTTGTGACTGTGTTACATATGTGTCAACCTTATCTCTACAAGGAGAGTTAAAGGTGTGTATGTGGAGGGGCAGAAGGAAGGGGTTTAAGTTTCCATACCAATCCAAAATCTTTTTTAGTTCTTGCAGATTTTAGGAGATGATAGGGAAGAAAAAGATGTCAATAGTTTGGAGTAGTCATCCTCCAAGACAAAGGTGCAGAGATGAAATGCACCTTGGATAGCTGCATTCTGACTACTGCTTGCTCTCTTTCAGCCTCTCTCAGAGGAGCTCTATTACTATTATATCATGGAACTGGCCTTCTACTGGTCTCTTATGTTTTCTCAATTTACAGACATTAAAAGAAAGGTAAGGACTTTGGTTTCCTCAACTCTGTAGCACCATTACTGCCATTGTAATGGATTATTTTCCCTGACTGGAACCACAAAAGAAGAAGGCACATGTGAGGGAACTGTTCGCCTTTGGTAGTGTTCCAAGAATTTAGACTTAACAAATGAAAAAGTCTATTTAAGATGTCCACAGCAATACAAGATGAGAATGATTAACTAAGAACAGTCTTTTATTCCTCTCCCATGTTCTTATATGTCTAAAACTCGGGAAATTAGTCAGAAATTGAAGATATCAATACCTGATCTGGAACAGGCCTTGATTACAGAAAAGTTAGATTAATTGTTACTGTTTTTGTTTTGTTTTGTCTGTCTTCCCTCCCCTCTGCTTCCCTCATTTCCCTCCTTTCTTTCTGTCCAGTCTCCCTTTTTGGTTACTGTACGTAAAGAATGTCAACTGGAAGGGATTTTAGATTTATTCTCTTCTTGCTGTTGTTCAGAAACAGTGATTCAGAAAACCAAGTTGCCATGCCTACGTATTGATAGAGTTGGAAATGACTTGAGTTTGTATTACCAGACAGAACCACTTTTTCACTGGTGCTTAACTGATGAGGTGGTTCCAGTAGCTGTAACCCTAAATTGTGTATCTTTGGTGAGGAAAACCAGGGTTAGCATTATAGGAATGGGTTGAAACTACTCTAGGTTGTTAGTGTTGTCTAGCATAGAAACTTGATACTCTAATTCCAATTTTTCACTCTCCTATGGTCAGTCAGGAGACATAGATCCCCTTATTGAAAATTTTAATATATGACATAAAAAGGTTGATGTGTGTGTGTGTGTGTGTGTATGTTTTGAAACACAGTAGAAGTCAGGCATGGTAGTATATGCCTGCAATCCCAGCACTCAGAAGGCTGAGGCAGGAAGATTACTGCAAATTCAAGGCCAGCCATGCCTATAGTGAATTTAAGGCTAATCTGAACTATGCAGGAAAACCTTATCTTAAAAAAATAGATAACCCCCTCAAGAACTAGAACATCAGCCAGGAGTGGTGGTGCATGCCTGTAATCCTAGCACCTTGGGAGGCTGAGACAAGAGGAACACAAGTTCAAGCCAGTCTGGGCAACTTAGCAAGACTCTGTCTCAGAATAAAAACAGATTGGCATGTAACTCTGTACTAAGGCCCAGGGTTCAATCCTCAGTACCAAAATCTTAAGAAGGAAGAACCAGCATATCATTAATACCATTATATCTGTATAGAGAGCATAGATTTTTTTGTCCTTGCTTCCCTGACCCATATTCGCCTGCCTTCTCCCACCCTCTGTCCCTCACTGTGCCTAAAAGTACTTATTAGCTATGACTGATGATGCAAGTATTTAACAATTTTTTCCAGGTCTAACTTACATAGTTGAACCCAAGAGGAAATAGAGCCTTAAATCTGAAAGCAGGAAGTATTTGCAGTAATATAGATTGTTAATTAGCTAATTAACTAATTAGCTAATATGCATTTTTCTGAACTTTTTGGAAGAGTTTTCCCTTACCCCTCCACAAACCTCTTTTCTGTTAGTGCCCTTTGGTTGAAATGTCTTTAATTAAAGCAAAAGAGTCTTAGGAATCTCTAAGGCTCTTGTGTCCCATTGCCACCTAGGAGGTTACTTCCAAAGGTCAGCTCTGTACCCGTGCCATTCTCTGTTCTGGGCTGTGTTAACATGGACTGGGGTTAGTCTCTGATACAGGAGTGCTGAGTAAAGATGCTGGGCAACTCCCTAAGGGAGGGTCTAAGCAATATGGAACACAGAAGAGGGCGTGTAAGATCCCCTGAGAATAATGCACGAATGCTGGGCGCTGGGTTGGCTACCATTGCTGTAGCTTTGTCTTTACCTGCATTGTGTCTCCGACCTTCCGTAGGACTTCCTGATCATGTTTGTGCATCACTTGGCCACCGTTGGGCTCATCACCTTCTCCTACATCAACAACATGGTTCGGATCGGAACTCTGGTCCTGTGTCTACATGATTCCTCAGACTTCTTGCTGGAAGTAAGAACCCAGCCCCTCTTCTCATTATTCTTTTCTTTCCCTTTCCCTCTCACTCTATAAGAAGCCCTTCCCACACCTTGTCACGGTCAGTGGAGTTTTTATTTGTAATCGCAGGAGAGTTACTGGAATTTCAAGAAGTTAATTCGAATCTACCACTTGCAGTGTAATCCGTGGCAGGAATAAAGACACTAAGCCATATTTTTAGTTGTGGGGAGCCAAAGGGGTCCTAAGTCCAGCTAGAAGGATGGCTAACTGGAAATAATGCCTCAACCCAGGGCCAAACCTGGGTTTTATTAACTTATGAAGAGGGGAGTGGCTCAGGGATGAGTGAGAGAAAGGCGGGAAGTATGTGAGTGCTATGAGCTGGGCTGGGTAGGAGGCTGGATAGCACCTCTGCAATATGCAGAGAAAGAGAGATGCAGAAAGACTAATCTGCATATCACAGGTGAGTAAGTATCTCATGTGCAGGGGCCGTGCTTCAGCTCTGATGTGTAATCATCATGCTCTGAGATGTCCTCGCCTCTCTCTTGAGGCTCAGTCCCAGCTGACAGTGCAGTGTCACTCAGCCTAGCTCACACATACTAGTTAGGAGCTAGATCCTGGGCATCACTGACTGCATTGCTTTAGACTACACATCAGCACCTTGGCTAGACCCCTTTGCATGGCTTAAAGCCAATTGGGGGGATAAAGAAATATCCCAGCTAGCTCTGTACCTATCAATACACAGAAATAAGGCCAGGCTTAGCCAAAATGGAGACAGATGGTCTTCTTTCAAGGAGAGCCGTCCTGGTGGTCCTCTACACCTCTCCCTCTCTCCCTCTTTTTTGTTCCCTCCCCTTCCCTCCTCTCCCCTTCCCTGCCCTCCCGTTCCCTTCTTTTTCTGTTCTTTCTACAGGAGAACTTTTTCCCAACTTAGTTCTTCTTTTGTCCAGGCTGCCAAGCTGGCCAATTATGCCAAGTATCAGCGGCTCTGTGACACCCTTTTTGTGATCTTCAGTACTGTTTTTATGGTCACTCGTCTAGGAATCTATCCATTCTGGTAAGTGTCACGGGGTTGTGAAGCTGTAGTAGGTATGTAGCTAATACCTTTTTCCCAATTCAGCTTTTCTGTTACAAACTCTGTTGCTCTGCTTTTTCCTTGTTTTCATTTTGGTCTCCATTTTGTTTATTATTCAGTTCTGCTTTTTTGTTTTGTTTTTATTAAGTTTATTGCCCTAGAGTGGTGGCACACGTCTGTAATCTCAGCACTCAGGAGGCTGAGGCAGGAGGATTGCCGTGAGTTCAGGGCCAGTCTGGGTGACATAGTAAGTCCAGGCCAGCCTGAACTACATGGCGAGACCCTGTTTCAAAAAACAAACAAAAAAAAGTTTATTGGTACATTTTAGGTATATGTAATGATCACATTCATCATAGGGGATTTGTCCCTGTACATAATATATGTTGATTTTTTTTTCCCATTCCCCTACCCTCCCTTCAGCCCCTCTACTCCTCCTTATTTACAAAAGTTTTGTTTCCATTCTTTCTCATCATTTTTTTTCCTTTCCCTTCCTTCCCTTCCCCCTCCTGCTTCCATAATTCCCCTTCCTATTTGGACATTTTCTTCCTATTTCACAATATCTGTTACACATTTTGGTCCTTACTTACACTTTCAGTTTCTCACACCAGAGAAACAGTGCAGTATTTACACGTGTATTTGATTTATTTCACTTAACCTCAAGGTGCATCCACTTAGCTAGAAATGTGTCAAAAGTTTATCCTTCTTTATGGCAGAGTAGTACTGCATTGTATAAAAGAACCACATCTTCTTTATCCATTCACCAGTTGATTGCCCTGTTTTTTCCTTGGACTAAGCTAAACCTTTATGGGCTCTCACAGAACCTTAGCTGCTTTACACAGTGTTTCTAGTCATTTGCTCTGGCTTTTCTTACTCATCTCTGTGTAGCAATCCTTTTGCACTGATTGCAGAAGTAACAGGCTCTTCTTGCTTATGTTCTTGCTTTGTATCTTCTTCCCTGTCCTGACCAACACATGCATATCCCGTTTCACTTTCGTATTCACTACCTTACAGTGCAAAATCAGAGACTGGGTTAGAGATTTTGCTTAGCCTGAGGCAGTCAGCTGCCTGCTATTCTGTGTACGCTTGAGGATCGAAATTATTCCTGAGATTATAATCTGCTATTTGAATTTTATGAATCTGTATATTTGAAGTGATTAACAGTATGACATATTCCATCAGTTCCTAACATTTATATTTCTTTCTCTACCCCTAAATGGCTCTGTATTCCTTTCTCACTGTAGATGTATGTCCTTGGAGTTTTAACTAATGGAGGGTACAAGGAGGAACAAACAGGGCCGTGTGCCCCAGGGAACTTAGCTTCATGCCTGTGTGCCTCACTTTGACATTAAAATCTTACAGTTGGTTTCTCTCCTCTAGGGTTCTGAACTCGACCCTCTTTGAGAGTTGGGAGATAATTGGGCCTTACCCTTCCTGGTGGTTCTTCAATGGCCTTCTCCTGATCCTGCAGCTTCTGCACATCATCTGGTCCTACCTAATTGCACGAATTGCTTTCAAAGCCTTGCTCCGGGGAAAGGTGAGAATGAAGAATGACTTCTTTCCTAGCGCTTGGGGATAGACAAGTACTGTTCAGCAGCCTTCTCTCCATCCACGCTGGTGAGCCCTTGCTACACAGGCAGGCCCAGCAAAAGTCTAGGGCTCTGAAATTTTTGCCTTGACTATGTAAGTTTAGCCTTTTAAGATATAACATAGATGCAAAAGGCAGGATCTGGTACTTTCTTCATGTCCCTTAAGAATGGCTGTTATGGACCGGGGATATAGTTCAGCAGCACAGTGCCTGCCTGGTACGCACAAGGTCGTGAGGTCAATTCCCAGTACAAAAAAAGAAAAAAAAATGACTGGTATTAGCTGGGTGTGGAAGCCCATGCCTGTAATCCCAGCATTTAAGAGGCTGAGGCAGGAGATTCCTGTGAGTTCAAGGCCAGCGTGGGCTATACAGTGAGTTCAAAACCAATCTCAGCTACATAGACCTAAGAGTTGTAGCTGGTTGCAGTGGCCCACACCTATAATCCTAGCCCTGAGGGAGGCTGGGGCAAGGATTATAAGTTCAAGTCCTACCTGGGCAACTTAGTGAGACCTTGTCTCAGAATATAACATGAAAAGTTTTAAAGGTACCCTCAACCATTTTCTGCCCTTTTCTACTTAATGGGCTTTATATTTTAGCATGAGAACCTTTTTTCTTTTTCCCTCCTCCATACTGGGGATCAAACCCAGGGCCTTGTGTGTGCCCGGCAAATGCTCTACCATTGATCTACACCCCTACCCCTGAAAGATACTTTTAAGAGTACAGTTCATAATTGAGCTTTGCAAGTTCTGAAGAAGCCAGGCTGATTAGCAGAAGAGCCCTCAGTGATGCAGAATCCCAAGCTAGAGCTGTTCTAGGGTCTGCTCATGATCTAGCTGGTCATTTTCCTGATGGCTGTGGTTACTTTTGGAATTCGCTCTGTGTGCCTGTGCACCTCGCTGTACTACTGGACTTCTGTTCTCCCCTGCTTTTCTTTTCTGACCAGGTGACCTACCCAAGAAGGATTAGACCCAGACTCTATACTCTCCACTCTTTTCTCACCTCCTTCCTTTTTTCTATGCCTGGTGGAAGCGGGACAGTTCCATCTCTCGCATGTAAGTGTTATCTGTGCTTCTAGTATTCAGGGAAGCATGTCTGTCTAAACATGTTTCTCTCCCTTCCTGCTGTCCTGCCTGTTCTCCTGTGTTTGTCTGGGGGCATTGCCTTCTGTCCCGACCTTGTGGAGCCATTGTTGACAAGAGCTGAGGTTGCCAGGTTCTTTTCCTAAATTGAGGCAACAGTTGAATCAGTCCCTCCCTCCCTCCCTCCCTCCCTTCCTTCCTTTCTTCTTCATTAGTTTCCGATCCTCTCTTTACCTCAGATCTAGAAGCACTCTGCCCTCTGGCAGACATTTCCTAAAGACAAGGTAATAAATTCATTATCTGGGTTCAGAAATCAACAGTTACAGTATACTGTAGGTCACAGAACTAATCCAAAGCACATGTCCATCACTTTGGCAATAGCCAAAGTGTTTGTTCCTTTTTACCTTTTCCTCTACTTTGTTTTAACAGCACACATTTATTATCCTGCAGTTCCAAAGGTCAGAAGTCTGACACAGGTCTCACTACGCTCCTTTACTTTTATGTTCCATGGTAGAGAATTTAAAATACTTTGCTTAATATGCAAGATTGTTTGGACTGGAAAATACTGTTCTAATCCAAGCTCTTCACTTGAAGACACAAATATTTAGGGCTGGGGATGTAGCTCAGTGGCATGGCACCTGCCTGGCAAGCATGACGCCCTGAGTTTGATTCCCGGTACCAAAAAAACAAAACAAAACAAAAACCAAATATTTTTTTAAAAAGCTCAGGGTAAAAGATAAAGATTCACAGATGCTAGCATAATTGGTACTGGGATTTTTTTTCTTATTGTGAATCCTTTCTTGTTTTTATGATTCTGTGTATGTGAATATGCTGAAGTTTCACGAGAGAGTAATTCTGCTATTTGAAAAGAAAGCAAGCTAGATGTGGTAGCACACGCCTGTAATCCTAGCACCTGGGAAGCTAAGACAGGAGGATTGCTGTGGGTTCAAAGCTAGCCTGAACTACATACTGAGACCCTATCTCAAAAAGACAAACAAGGGC